AACAAACAAACAAAAGAAAGACAACAGTAAAATCATACGAAATGAAGGATATGAAAAGTAGAATAAAATCAAAAGAAAAATAAACTTTATAAAAGKACAAATTTTTAACGTGAAAGAACTACCGTTTGTAAATTTTTTAAAAAAATGTGTATTATATCATACGAGCCATTTTTTTATCATTTGCACCTGAAGGGAAATTATATTTGATTAAGCTTTTACCTTGTTGTTCCTTTGGTGTTGAAACTACTAAATTGGTTGAGCTTATTGAACTTATGTCTACCGACTTAGACGTAGATACTGACAAAAAATTAGATGCATAAGTCGGCATAATTTAATTTACAGCTCAGTTTTTGTGCGTATGTTTAGGATTGTGTTTTGCTATTGATGCATGTTTGTTTCTTTGTTTGTTGGAATGATTGATTGATTGACTCCATTAATTAGCTATACATATTATACAAACAAACAAACAAATATAAACAATTAAAAAATAGCGAAAGATATTGTAGTAACGACGTTTCGAAGCCACAGAAGTCGGTTTCTTTCGTTAGTTGTTACTTGTTTATGCATTTCAAAGTCGCTATTGATCAAAAACAAAATCACTTAAGGAATAAACAATCAAACAATCGAATTAACAATTAAACAATCAAAAAAGAACTAACACCCAAGTAAAACGAAAAACAACAACGAGCTAAACTAACAACGAAATGGAAACAAACAAACAAACAAAAATAAGATACTAGTTTTATATCCGTTTATGAATGAATTTTTCTTTGTTTTCATTTAGTTTTCTATTCTTCAGATTTTGTTTGACTTCCGTTTTTCTAGGTTGGCTGTTTGTTACATTGCTTACATTACCTCGGTTAACTATTGCTATCGAGCTTTGTACATGGCGTGTACTTTCCGATGGTACCGGAGAAGTAGGAAGAGCTAAAAAAGACCAAATCACAATTGATATATTTCTCCCATGTGCATAGTTACAGACGGAATATATAGTTGCAAAATTTTTAAAACCCTTTTCACGTTTTGTAGCTGTTAGTTGACACTGATGAATATATAATACCATAAATAAAATGATAAACCATAAAAATGATGAATTAAAATATAATTTCACGGGCGAAGCTAATCCAAAATTTTAGCACGATGAGTGCGTCCTCAATCATCATGCATTTCCACGATGAAACACTTTTGTGTAATGTCTTACGCACTTTGTTTTCGAAACAACTCTTTGAAGATTGTGGTTTCGCGTAAAAAGAACCATAAATAAAATGTTTCAAACCTGTCTGGGTGACATTGATGATGTGTTCATCATAACCAAGTAAATTTTCTGCTTTACACCTGTACGACCCATAGCTGTCTGC